CAACATAGAACATATGTTAACAAATCCAACATCTAAGCATATGAAAAGTATAAGAAAATACGTAACAGAAGATAGTAAGTCACCATAACAAATCCATATTTGCTACCAATGCGTGTATTCTTCATTCATCAAAGTTTCATACAGATAAGTTATTGAGTTTCATCAAACCAGATTTTAATGAATTTTGTAGGGATGCTGACATCGTGGTTATATTTAAACCTGTAAGTACCTACCAGAATTTTCTACTAAATATTTGTTTCAGTAAGACTTTTTTTTTTTACTCTTTACTTAGCAGGCACTCAAATGATTCCTTAATGATAAGCTTATACCTTTAGTACCTATTTACTTTATATAAACACATGGAAAATTAAAAATAGCTGTACAGGCCTGACCTACGGACACTTCGTATTTTATCAGTCTATATATATCATTGTTGAACGGAGTTTAACATACTTGATATTTACATGCCTAACCGTGACAAAAGTGGCAAGCGCAATAATGTTTTTAAATTTTTCGTGTAACGTATCGTCGGGCATCCGCAATTTGAGGGCAAGGATAACTGTAAACAAGCAGTGCAATTTCTTGGAAAGCAAACAACGGTAATTAATCATTTATTATTCAGGAAGGTTGTCACTGCAAATTACTATTAACTTGCTTTATCATACTGACGGGGTGCACAAATTTGTTTGACTACCGCTTTTATATTACGTAATTAAAAAACAACAACGGCGTGCCACACCCCGTTTCATTAATATCTATCTTCCCTTTCGTCGGCGCTAGAGAACAGCTATTAGCGTTTGGTCGAATGAAATATCGCGTTGGCATTTCTTGCGCGGCGCTGCGAATTGAACGCAGTTTTAACGCTGTCCATAAGTGCATGTCCACAGACGAATTATTAAGACGTGGCGACCATAAAATCTATTTAAAATAATTAATTAACTGATTCTTGTTCATTTTCTTGTGTGGCTGACAAGTGAAAATATATGGAACTATGTCAATCAAAACGAACTACAGACAATCATGAAGCCTACTTGGTTCGAAGCCTAGTTGGTTCATTTCCAACTGAGAGGGAACAATAGGTTGTTTATAACAATAAAACCTAGAGTATATTAGCTGTGAGAGGGGTAGTGCAGGGCTCAGTATGGGACCTACTCTCTTTCTCATATATATCAACGACCTTCCTGAAGCTCTTTTGAATGGTTGGCTGGCGTTGTCTGCGGACGACACTACTTTCTTAATAAATAAAACTTAAAAAATCTTTCCGAAGCACTTGCCTGAAGATAACTATGAATTAACAATATCGAAGGATGGGTTTACAAAAAAAAGCTTAACCCTTAACAAAGGGAAAAGAGTAAATAATGGACCAAGTGCAAAATTCTTGGGAATTCATTTAGACCCTAAGCAAAATTGGTGTCACCACACAGAACAAGTGGCTAAAAAATCTCAAGTAACATTTTTCTAATACGTAGCCCAGTCTTTGGCCTACAACGTAAGGCAATTAGAGTAATCACAAACCTCAAATACAGAGAGGATGTTAGATCTAAACTTTCGGATCTTAAAATTCTTACAATGTCAAGCGCTTAAGTGTCTAGTTTACGCTTACGAGAATCAACCAGGTCTTTTACATGTTGACCCCTACAAAACACGGAATACTAACAACCTCAGAACTGATTTCTTCTTTCTTAATGCTAGGAAGCTAGGTTCAATTTACTACTACATCCATTTTTTAATATACTTAAGCCCGAGACAAAACAATAAAGAGCTTCAAAAAATTAGTCAAATATTTTTTAATAAACAATAATTTTACAGCTTGGATGAGTTTATCTTTTTTCAAAATATCACTAACTAGTTCGATGAATGCACCTCCTTACACTTTTCGCTTTCAGTGATGAGTTTCTGTGATAATCTTCGTTCAGCTTTAATGTATGTCCAGATGGCCACAGAGCGCTTAATGTGCTATGTTTTATGAATTATGCTTTATGTGCATATTGCAAAAATATTATTCCATGTTATATTTCATTGCCATGACTGATTGTATACATCTTTTATGTTTGTAACAGGCTAGTAAATGAAATGAAATGAAATGCTCTCATTCTTCCATGGTATGGATAATGCCAACTACGAATCAAGAAGATCGCAAAAAATTCCCATGCCTTGTTGGAAAGAAGATGACATCATTGGGTTCCTATTAATCACAAACAATTTTAGAATAAGATGTTAAAAAAAGAGCTATGGGAAATTTGTTGTCGACGAAATCACCTATGGCAAAAACCAAAAGAACAGGCATACACTTTCCTTTAGGTTTCATAGAAGGCTCAGAATCGGTTTCAAATTTATTTTTGTCTAGTATTGATTCGCATTAGCCCATTTTCGGTGAAGTATAGCGACTGATTCGCGGTCGGGAAGTAACGGAACTGTGAAAAATCTTCGGTTCGCTGCCCTCTTTCGAAAAACTCCGTCTCCGAATTCGCGAGCAGCGGCAAGGTCTTGTCTCGATTTATTTTTTAAATCATCGCCAAAAACAAACAATCGCGTTTCTAAAACAAGCGATCCGGCTCTTTATTGATTTTAAAAATAAATGTTTCGTTTTTGCGACGACGAACAACGGGGCAACAACAAGCAAACAAAAGAGGAATATTGCCGAGGAAAACTCGGAAAGGAGAGTTATCGGAATCCACCTCTCCCGGTAGGCGGCTGCTATAGAATTCATTAGGTAATGGCAAAACAAACAAACGGTTCGTGTAATTGATCTTGGAAATCTGAAACGACCGGTCCGCCCAATCCGAAAATACACTCTCCCCATTTTTGCCCTCGCCGCCGCGTGAGGCTCAAAAATTACCCCGGCAAAAACATTTTCGCGTTCGGCTCGACCGCCGCACTCTGGTTTGTTGTTACGTATGCGGCCCAAACCTTTATTTTAATGTACTAGTCAAAACTGAGAAAGTATCATGAGATTGAAAAAAAACAGTTTTATACCTATTTCTAAACGATTGAATATATTATTATATGTATTATTATTATTAGTAATATTTGTTGTTTGGAATTTAAAAGTTTATTTTATTTACCGATACATATACTTATTTTTTTCTTTAGTATATTTAACGGATATGGAAATGGTATATTATGCAACAAGTGCGGTACACGGCATTTGACTCGCGAGTTTATTTGGCACGAGCGGAGCCCAGTGGACGAGTTACTTAACAAATTTACCAAATGTCACAATTTAACAAATTAAAAATAATAACAGATTATCCGATTACTACATTTCGTACCTACTAGTTGCCATTAAACCTATTCGTTTATCGTTCCGATCGGTTTTGCTATTGTTGCCTTTTTTAGCTGTATATGTTAGACAGAGAAGGATTTATTATTAGATATGTCATATAAAGAACGGAACAAACACAATTTATCGTTAAGAAGTATATTTAAAGAAAAAGACAGTAATTGGAAAAAAAATCATCTACAGAGGATTAAATTTTTAAGATCGTATAGGCAAGAAAAACCAAGCCCTAAACTTCAATTTTGTTTTGTTTGTACTGATGAGACATGGAAATTTGAAAATCGTACAATTGGTCTTGGCAAGATATTAATATTTAAAAACTGTAAAAACCACTAAAGTTCATGCGAACGATATGTCACATTTTTGTGGGAAACTTAACTTACATATGTCACTTTACTTACCGACTAGTCCCCTAGATTTTAATTGTAGCTTATAGCACGTATTTAAATTGTCTAATATATTGCATAAAATTTTTCTGTGTATTAGTTTTTGGGCATAAAGATATCCATAACTTCACAAGAGAACAGCCTAGAAGAAACGAGCGGTCAATTATAGATTACATACCAGTGGGAAGAAAAAACAGAGGTAAAATAAATGATGTTGCAGTAAAGCGGGGGTTCGAAATAAGCAGTGACCATTACCTACTTGTTGCAAAAATGGGAACTCAGAGAGATGCAAAGCGTCATCAAGAAAGTAAAGCAATATACATATATATATATATATATATATATATATATATATATATATATATATATATATATATATATATATATATATTCTCACGTATTGATTCACGGATGGAAAAATGTGATGACACTATACTCCGGGATATCATCCGTTCAATCGTTGAACTCCGACTGGAATCCTGCAGAAGTTTCGCCAAAATCTCACTTGGCATCTTCAATGCTCGCGCTCCGAAAACACCCAGTGTTCGAAGTGTTTTCGGAGCGCGAGCATTGAAGATGCCAAGTGAGATTTTGGCGAAACGTCTGCAGGATTCCAGTCGGATGCAGGATTCCAGTCGGAGTTCAACGAGCGAACGGATGATATCCCGGAGTATAGTGTCATCATATATATATATATATATATATATATATATATATATATATATATATATATATATATATATATATATATATATATATATATATATATATATATATATATATATATATATATATATATATATATATATATATATATATATATATATATATATATATATATATATATATATATATATGTAAAGGGTTGGGGGAAGGTGGTTGTAAATCACCCTCAAAATTTAAACGAGAAAGAGCGGCAAGAAAACGGTAGGACATACAACACCCGAAACGGTTAATCACCCACCTTGATGGTTTCCCGCGTCGTCGTCTGCCCGGCCGGGTCTTCTTAGGGGTATTTTCTTGAGGGTTGGGGGTGGTAAGGACCACAACACAGCGCGGGGTTCTCGCGAACCGGTCACAAAAGAGAGCTTGTTTTTTCGTGGTTCGCACTACGGACGCTCACGCAAGTCTGTCTTTTCGCGCGGCTTAACCAAGGTTGGGTATGGTGGGGGTGTTGTATACACAGCGCGAAAATAAAAAGTTAACCCAAAACAAAAAAATTATGAAGTTACCGAAAAATGTTATTCAACCCTTAACATTCCGGCCTCCCAAAAATACCCAATTTTTCCCATAAACTTATCCTATACTATATACACGGTTGCCCCTTGAACAGGTTAACAGTTAGGGACAAAAGATAATTTGACCAAAGGTCGATCGAAAGTGCCTTTGGCCGTGTGCACTTGCACAACGCGAATTTCCTTGTCGGAACTGGGGTACAAGCGCGTGATGCGGCCCAGAAGCCACTTTAACGGGGGGAGGTTCTCGTCTTTAATTAAAACCAACTGACCAACTTTCGGGGGGTTAGTCGTGGTGTTCCACTTGTGCCGTTGCTGCAGCTGGTGGAGGTATTCCCGATGCCATCTGTCCCAGAAGTGCTGATGCAACTGCTGCACGAGCTGCCAACGAGTGAGTCTGTTAGTGTTCAGATTAGCTAAAGGGTCGTCGGGAGGGGCAGATAGGGGCTCCAGGGTCAGAAAATGCCCAGGAGTAAGGCTATGCAAATCGTTTGGGTTGGAACTCAAACTACATAATGGGCGGGAATTCAGTATGGATTCCACCTGAGTTAACACTGTCGACATTTCCTCGAAAGTCAGGATTTGAGCGCCTATCACACGAAACAAATGGGTCTTTACCGACTTGACGCCGGCCTCCCAAAGACCTCCAAAGTGAGGACTGGAGGGTGGGTTGAAGTGCCAGCGCACCTCACACTGGTCGGCGGACTGCTGGCAATACTGTACCAACAACCGGTTAGCACCGACAAAATTTCTACCCTGATCACTATACATGTCAGTGCAACGCCCGCGGCGAGCGACAAAGCGCCGAAAAGCGGCCAAGAATGCGTCTGAGCTGAGTTCAGAAGCCAATTCCAAATGGATGGCTTTGGTAGCCATGCAAACGAATAGGCAAATGTAAGCCTTCTGAGTCTTAGCGCCGCGCCTTCGCGCCAGGGTAATGGAAATTGGACCGGCGAAATCGACACCGGTATGCGCGAATGGCTTGACCTGCGATACACGAACGGGGGGTAAATCAGCCATGAATGGCTGTACACAAGAAGGTTGGACACGGAAGCATCGGTAACACTGCGATAGGGTGTGACGAATTGCTCTGCGGGCGGACAAAATCCAGAATTGTTGTGAAATCTGGTACAACAATGATTGGGGGCCCGGGTGGCAATTTTCCTTATGGAACTTTTCGATCACGAGTTCGGTAAAGCGATGGTCTCGAGGTAGTAGAAGAGGATGTTTTGCGTCGAAAGACAACGCAGAACCTCGGAGTCTGCCACCGACTCGAATGAGACCGTGCTCGTCGATAAAGGGCGCTAGGGAGCGTAAAGGTTTGGCGCACAGTTTACCGTTTCGAAGACACTTCAGCAAACCAGCGAACACCTCACGTTGGACGTATCCTGTCAGCAACGTGCGGGCGTGGTACCTGTCCGCAAAAGACAAATTATCAAGCGCTCGCTTGGGAACGGGGGTACGACAATTATTTAGAAACCTACAACAATAAGCCAGGATCCTCTCAATTTTTCGTAACGACGAGAAACGGGTTAACAGTTCTCCAAGCGCGTCAACTAAAGTCAACACTGGTTTACGTTCCAGTTCCAGATCATCTCCGGAGGTGAAGTCGGAGGTGGGCCACTCTTCCACCGGAAGACGCAACCAAGGGGGACCACAGAACCAAGAGGGGTGGATTAATATTTTCTCGGGGAAAAGCCCTCGGGATGCGCAATCAGCAGGGTTGGATGAACCGGCGACGTGATGCCAGGAACTGGGGGAAATGATGTCCTGAATGAGGGACACGCGATTGGCCACAAAAGTTTTCCATCTGTGGGGGGAGGACTTTATCCAAGACAACGCAATTTTGGAGTCACTCCAGGCGAATACTCTCGTGATAGTCAACTCAGAGGCTATAGTGGATCGGACGAAATCTACGAGTTGGGCGAGCAGCAACGCTGAGCACAACTCCAGACGGGGGATCGACACTCGCTTCAAAGGCGCTACCCGATTCTTTGCACACAGAAGGGTGACAGAGATATGGCCCTCTCTGACGCTTCGCAGATACACGGCTGCACCGTATCCGCGCTCCGAAGCGTCACAAAATCCGTGCGTCTCCACCTGGACGCCATTGCTAGGCAGTACCCGACGAGGGATTGTCAGCCCAGAAAGACTGTCCAGCTGAGACGAAAACGAACTCCAATCTTCGAATATGTCGCGGGGGGGAGGTGCATCCCAATCGACGCCTTGGGACCAAAGCCTCTGTAGGAGAATTTTGGCAGTCAACACGACCGGGGATAAAAAACCTAGGGGATCGTATATTTGGGCTACTTGCGACAAAATATTCCTTTTTGTGCACGTCCTATCCGTTACTTGGATGCGGTAGGAGAACACATCCCGTAAGGGACACCACTGCAATCCCAACACCTTTAAACTGGGATTGTCGTCTCCGCATAGGGAAACGGGTTGATGATGTGAAGCGGGGAGTGAACTCAATAACTCGGGGGAGTTGCTCGCCCATTTGCGCAACTCGAAACCACCCAGCTTTAGCAGCGATACTAATTGATCCCTCAAGTCACGGGCTTCCTCCAACGAGTCTGTTCCTCCGATAATGTCGTCGATGTAGGTTTGGCAATCTAGGAGACGGGCTGCTAACGGGTAACGCGCTCCTTCGTCCCTAGCAAGCTGACGCAACACGCGAATAGCCAGGTATGGGCTACAACTTAGTCCATAGACCACCGTTGACAAGACGTACTCTCGCACTGCTTCGCGGGGATCAAAACGCCACAGAATCCGCTGGAAGAGGTGGTCGGCGTCACTCACTAGGATTTGACGATACATCTGACGAATATCGGTGGTGAAAACCACACAGTACAGTCGAAAGATGAGCAAAATGGCTCCAATGTCGGGTTGGAGCTTGGAACCCGTAAATAGAAGATCGTTCAGAGACCGTCCGTTGGAAGTTTTGGCTGAAGCATCAAACACAACACGCAATTTAAGGGGTTCGCTATGTGGCTTCCAGACGGCGTGATGAGGAATGTAGTAGTAGGGGAGAGGGGGGCAGGTCGCTAACGAGTGCCATGTGACCTTGTTCCCAATAATCTCTCAAGAACTCGTTGTAGGCTAATCGCAAAGTTGGGTTCTTGGCCAAACGCGCCTCTAACAACTGGAATCGCCTAAGGGCTTGAGGGTAAGATTCACCAAGTGAAGGGTGTTTATCCTTAAAGGGTAAGGATACGACGTATCTACCTGAAGGGGCACGGGAATGGGTAGAGAGAAAGACCTCCTCACACAATTTGTCTTCAGGAGACATAAAGGTCTTTGAAGGGACGGACTCAAGTTCCCAAAATCTCTTCAAAGAAACATCAACAGCAGTACTCACAGTGGTACAAAAACTAAAGGGAGAAGGTGGTTCTAAAGAATTCACTTTTCCTAGGACAACCCATCCAAAGATGGTCCGAAAAGCGCATGGGCCGCCGTTCTGTCCCTTTCTAAATCCAGGCAAACAAATATCTCCGTAAACCTCTGCCCCTAAAAGCACGTCTATTTCGTTGGGTTCACAGAAGTGAGGATCAGCCAAGGGTAGGGACCTGGTTGCCGGAAGCAGGGGGAGCTTCATTCGACGGGCAGGGGGTAGTAGCATTTTCAAAATGCACTAAAGTATGGTGGCGCTTGCCACATACACGACAATTAATCTTGGAGGGGCATCTTCCAACACCATGGGATCGCGCGAAGCAATTAAAGCACAAACGATGTTGGTTGATGAACACATGCCTTTGAGGGGGCTCAAGAGATAGGAAGGAATCACACTCTGTCAGAGGATGGTAGTCCATAGGGCAGTATAAACACTTACTGGTGCAACTCACATCAGCACTCGGAGGGGTAGACGTCGCTATCATAGATGTGGGTCTACGTGTATCGGTTGAAACTCACTTCGAAACCTCAAGCCTCTTGGTAGGGGTAATACCTTTTGAGGTAACTAAAGAGTTTTCTAAAGCTTTACAATTCTGTTCCAAAAAATCACATAAATCTTGAAAAGTTGGGATATCTTTATCACAAAATTTGAGTTCGAACCTCGTCTTGAGAGTCGAGTCGAGTTTCTCTAAGAGCAAATTGAATTTTGTAAAATCCCACAAGTCGATATCGAATTTATCGATAGCTGCAAGATTCTCTGAAAATGTTGAAAGCAATCTCCTCAGTTCAACAACCGAGTCACTCTTCATAGTCGGAGCCCGAAAGATCGACAGCCAATAATCGGTTAACAACAGTCGATCGTTTTGATAACGCTTCACGAGGGCATTGTAAGCTATACTATAATTGGCATCCTTAATTGGCAAATTCTTCACGACACTGAGAGCATCCTTTTCCAAATAAGACACTAAAAATTGAAATTTTTCAATGTTTGAAAGGGAAGAATTATTATGGATCAACGTGTTAAACATATCAAAAAATGTAGGCCAATTTTTCAATTCGCCATCAAATTTCGGAATGATAATACGGGGGAGTCGGAGATTACTATTTCTTTGCGACTCTCGACCAACTACAGATGGTACCGGAGAGCCTGCCTTAGGTTCCACTTTCTCAAATAATCGCTTGGCAATAGATCGAATTGAATAATGCAACTGATCAAAGTGATCTTGAACCGCAAACTGTCGATCTCTTTCCGCTAAGGAGATTACTTCCAATTGCAAGGACTCAAAAGTGCTAACTAAACTCGGCAAATCCTCCACCATGCACTGGAATTTGCATAAAATTTCATCATCATCGGGTTCAACGCGAGCTTTCTGACCCGCTAACAATATATCGTTAAAGCGTCTAAGTGTTAAATCCCGCTTAGCAATAAATTTATCTATTTCCGACATTGTAAATCGTTTTGTAAACAAATGCACACCTAAGTCTCGAAACAAAGTACCCACGTAAATTAAAAGGAAGAAGAATTTGAGCACGCAGAAAATATGCTTAGAACGAATCAAATAAAAAGACGGCGGCAATTCGAAACGACGGTAAACACTTTTTATGAAACCGCTTTTTGCGCTCCAAACTTTACACGTTTTTTGCTAACCTGTTCACGATAGCGAACATGTATTTAACATTACTAAAGTTTGTGAATGACTATAAAAATCCAAAAGACTGATTCTGATTTGGGGAGAAGGACCAATATGTAAAGGGTTGGGGGAAGGTGGTTGTAAATCACCCTCAAAATTTAAACGAGAAAGAGCGGCAAGAAAACGGTAGGACATACAACACCCGAAACGGTTAATCACCCACCTTGATGGTTTCCCGCGTCGTCGTCTGCCCGGCCGGGTCTTCTTAGGGGTATTTTCTTGAGGGTTGGGGGTGGTAAGGACCACAACACAGCGCGGGGTTCTCGCGAACCGGTCACAAAAGAGCGCAAAAATAAAAAGTTAACCCAAAACAAAAAAATTATGAAGTTATCGAATTATCGAAAAATGTTATTCAACCCTTAACAATATATATATATATATATATATATATATATATATATATATATATATATATATATATATATATATATATATATATATATATATATATATATATATATATAGATTATATTATATTATTATTATTATATTATAGATATTCGTGACAGGTAGAGACTTCAGTGACGGCGAGGATTGGTTGATTTTTTAGAGATCTATGGATTCTTGCATTTTTGATTAGTAGAAGAATTGACTACATGCGAAAATTTTAGTTTGTTCTAATAATAATTGATGTCCGGTTTTACGATTATGTTCGGAAACTACTGATGAGTCGTCATAGTCTTTAGATCCTTTCATTTTCATTAACCCTGTTGATATTTTTCGCTCTGTTTCTCTAGTTCCGCATATGAAGTGAAAACTGTAAACTCGTGGTGTCTCACACAGAATTTTGTCTTTGACGCATCGAAGCTGTTTAGAGATTTTTTAGACAAGTGTTAAATCTGTACTGAAATGTTCAGTAGCAAACGCGGAGTTGCTTTCGGAATCATTAACTTTAAGAGGTTCCATATTTCTATATAATAGAAAAATGACGTAGCAATGTAGTTTATTCAATTCCACTATCGAACCAGCTCGACAAAAATCCAAAAAGAATTTGTACTGTTTACTAGGATGAAGAAGAATGTTAGCAAGTTCAACCCATCAACAACCGACGCAAGACGAATCCTGAAGATTTGTAAATATTCTCTTTTAGAATCATTATAAAATGCTGCTTCACTACTTGCAAATGGGACAGCCCTTTCGTCATTGAAACCTCCTAAATCTTTTTTCTACAACCTTCTCTATCTCTCTCAATTCTAATGGTTATGTTAGTGAATGTACTTGTGTTATTTTGCAAAAATTTTTGAAAATCTGGTGGATCTTATAATTTCACCCAGTGAATGGCAACCTTGGGTGGGATGATCCTTAATGAAAACGATTGTGTGAGTCTATTTTTCAAAATTTGTCTCATTGTCTCAATCGACTATTAATCACATGCAAAATAAGTGCAGGATTTCTTGGTTAAACTCAGTTATTTCCAACACTGTTACAAAAAATATGCTTTGTTTTGGCACATCGATAATTAGTCCTAGTTTATTTTAGCTGAGATTGAATTTCTGAATTAATTGTTCATCTTATAAGTTCTTTTTCCAAAGCCAAAGTTTAACTTTAACTTTAACAGCTAAATAGCAGATAGTAGCTGTTACTTTTGCCAGAATTTTAAAAATAATACTATGAGGATTACTTTAAGTTACAATCCAAAATTTGGGTCAGCTTGGATAACCTTAATTTAGCTATACCCGATGTCATTGAAATTTCTAGCCAAGCAATAACTCTTTCAAAAAATATAAAATATAAAACAATTGGCAATTGGCGGAATCCAGATCATCTTCTTTTAAATGAAACACCCTGTATATTTTCCATTTTTGTATTCTTCGGGGAAATCCAATTACGAAATGTACTTTATGTTTTTACGATCGCCCTAATAGTTTTGGAGATAATAACGTTCAAAAATTTCAATAGGTTAATTTTCCTCAGTCAATTTAAATACGAATTTCAACCATAAAATTGACAAATAGAGATTTTATAAAACGTTTTTATATTGATATACATTTTGAATTATTTTCGATTTATATTTAAATTAGGGACTTGGATTGGGATTGGCAAATTATGATTGGTAGGGAGAGCTAAACAGATTTCATGAAAATCTTCAAATCGCATTAAGGCAGATATCACCAATATTCTTAAATATTCAAATACAACTTGACATTATTTAATATTATTTAAAAGTACAGAATTCAAAACCCAAATACCTTCCAAATTGTCTAGAATTTTACCAGTGGATTACCCAGCAACAAGATATTTTGGACAAAATTGGCACGTTGAGGCAACATTTTCAAGGGATAAAGTTTTCAACAATCACAACCCATCTTTCTGTAGTACTGAGAATTTGGTTGTCAAACTAACTTCTAACATAGAATTTCCATTAATATTTGAACAAGTTTCATAAGTAGTACGCTAACAGATCATTTTATTTTACCAATTGTCCAGCTGGGTCGCCAGACTTAAACCCATTAAATTATAATCTATTGCTGCAAATCAAATTACGAACAATCGCTCGAGATTCTTCGTGCATGTCAAAATATTATAACAAAATCCCGACTATGAATTAGGAATAATGCAAATGTGGATTAGCTATAAAATAAGGAATTAAAATAAGACTTACTGAAATGAAAATTAACAAATAAAAAACTAACTACCCACTAACTTACGGTCATCCTGTCTACAATCACATTAATGAAATGTTTGTTTTTTTTGACACGTTCAAATAAATTGGAAAAAACAAAACAACAACGATGATTTGGGATTTCAAACCTTATGGCACATGGCATGGCTTCTATTTCAGAATGGGAACTCTTCTGAAAAAGTTTCGACTAGAATATTTACTTTAATGGTTGTCCCAGTTATTCTTTTTATGCGGTAGTGAGGAAAGCCATTGATAAAAACCAAATAAACATTCAATAGCTTAAATGGCACTGCCCTTAGTAGACGATAAATAAATTCCTCTCTCTTGATCTATTACTTTGGCATTTTAATTTTGAACCATATCCGCGTTAAATATAAATTGCTGCCCATGTATTTTTATCGAGACTGTTCGAGAATTGATGCGTGCATTATCTGAAAACGCAGGCCTTCCAGTTCACTGGTCGGCTTCAGCTTCCAGTCAGCGAACTAGCAGAATTACTGATTGACGATGCCGGTATGTAGCCTTTGCTGCTCCTGGCTCGACGAACGGACCGACGACCCTCTTTATCCACTCCCGTGCTTGCGTTTCACTGGATGTTTGCAATTTCCTACCTACTAACGCATATGCTGTCGAAACGTTAGGACCTTTTAAAGAACATTATGAATAATTTGTTTTATTCGACAAGCTGGATAGACCAATAATGTTCAAACTTTCAATAAAATAAGTCTGCCTTTATTAAAAGTGATTTTTTGTTTTTAATTTTTTTCGTAACTAAAATTTATTTCCTTCAAAGTTTTCCACATTTTTTTTTACCTATGGATAAAATTCTTTTTCATTTCCGATATTATTTCATTCAAGGGTATTTCTTTTTTGAAGTAAAACGAATGTATTTTCATCCTTACGTATTACAGTTTC